ATGTTAAATATATATATATATATATATATTAAATACATAATTTTTAAATAAATTTATTTATATTAAAAATCTATTATTAAATAAAATATAATTAATAAAAGATTATTTATATATATATTGACGTAAATATAAAAATAGACATATATAATTTATTTTATAATTTTTATTTTATTTATGATTTTAATATATTAATTTAAATTTAATTGTGTATTTATAATTTTTTTAATTAAGTGAATGTATGACAATGAACTAAAAGTATTTCAAAATATTTTTTTGAATATTTTTTTTGAAGTATAATTAAATTACAAGTATAATTTTATAAATAATTAAATTATAAATATGTTTTAAATCTTATAATGATTATTCAATAGTGACGTTAAATTTTTTATGTATCAAAATTATAATAATAATATTAAGTTTCAAACCTAAGACCTTATGTATACTATCTCAACCTTTCACCACTATAAGTTGATCTTGGTGATTCTTAGTGGTGTTAAGTTAATATGATAAGAAAGTAATAATATATATAATGTTTGTATCTCTAAGCGATAAAAGTGTAATTTGTGTTATATGTTAATATATAAAAGGTAGATAATGTAATACTTATATTTTTTAGGCGAGAAAAATGTAATTTATATTAATGATATTAAATTAAATAAAGTAAATTATATATTTTAACATAAAAGAAAAAAATAATGTAATACTCTTAAATCTTATCTCTCAGATGAGGGGTAATAAATTACTCAAAAAGAAAATAATGATAGATTGAAGGAGATAATAACTTCAAATTATATATTCTAATTTATTTCATAAGAATAGATGTTATTAAACTATTTAATAACTAATATCTTAACTTGTGATCATATATAATATATTTTAAGATAAATTTATAATAAATAAATATTTTTAAACATATAAATTATATTTTATAAAAACTAGTTTATATTATGATAGAAGATTATTTAATAGATAACCAGTTAAAATTTTCAAGTATATATATATTTATATTTGTATAACAAAAATTAATAATAAATAAATATTATTGAATATATAAATTATATCATATTAAAATTCATAATAAATAAATATTTTTTGACATATAAATTATATTTTTAATTTATTATAAATAATTTATATTATGATATAATGTTATTTTAAATATTTAATATTTTTATAAAAACAAAATAAAATTCAATTTAGAAATAAAGATGAAAATAATAAATTAAAAAATGTAAGTAATTAAGAAAACAAAAATTAATATGATTTTAAATGTCAGAAGACCTTTTATAATTAAAAAAAAAATTCAATTGAATGCTACTAATTTTTTCACATTCTTTAAAAAATATTGATTATTTTAAATAATACCAAGATTTTCTTCATCAACAGAGACTTGTTGGAGGCACCATACTAAGGAAAAGTAAAGGTGCTTTAGTAGTGTTTAGGTTTTGGAGACGAGGAAGACAATGATTTTGTTATATAAAAGATTAGGAATATATTTTCTAATACATTCTTTTAAATATATTTTTTAATTAGTTAAATTTTATTGAAAAATATAAAAGTTTGTGGGTTCTACATCTTATTTAATAACTCTCTCTTTTTTAATTTTGTAATTTTCAATAAATTTTAACTAATTAAAAAAGTGTATTAAGAGGAGTGCGTTAAAATGTATTTTGCTACCACTCCTCTTTTGTCATATATGGCTATATGATGGTGATTTCAGAAATGGTTTGAAGTGTGATTGAAGGGTCTTGGTATTGGGATATAATGAGTTAATGGTGGTGTGAATTTGCAAAAGTAAGACTAAGATAAAGATTGTATAAAGTGATCTATCATCATTTAAGGTGCTAAGGTGGTCTTTTTCATACATGATGGTGGTTTCGAAGATGGTTTGAAGTGTGATGGAAGTGCCTCAGTGTTAGAGTATAATGGGTTAATGGTGGTTGTGAATTTGCAAAACACTAAAAAAAATTGTATAAAGTGATCTATTATCATTTAAGATGCTAAGGTAGTTTTTACTTAGTCATCTCAGTAACTAACAATGTGTAAGTAGATAACAATAACACTAGAAATTTGTCCATTTAAATTTTAACAAAACAATCCTTATATTGATAATCATAATTTATTTTTTCTAATTTCTAAACCCTCTAAACCAACATGATCCTTTGACATATATGCACAAAGAGACATGTTAAGATAGTTGATATGCATATAGTAGACAAGGAAATCCTATACTTTTTTGTCTCAAATAATCCTCTTAAAAATGGCCAATAACAAATTATCAAATATACACAACAAAAAACCTCACCTAGTCCACACCTATTTCCACCTAGAGTTGACACTAGTGGTTGCAATCCTAGTAACTTGATAATCATTGATGTTAATTGCAACAACAAAATGGTAGTTCCTGGCAAGAAAATTAGGGACTCGTCGAAGGTGTACTTACCAACATCTTTATCATCTTCAACATCTTTTGTTGGGGGTAAATCTTTCTTTGTTATGTCAAACACAGTTTCAGATATCCTTAATAACTTAAGTAGAATGTTAAGAAATGCACAAAAACCAGCATTCATAGATATTATTCTTGACATCCTTTGATTGTTCCACCATGCTCGAATTGACAAATCTGATTCTAAATACTCTAATATAGTGTATCCTTTGTAAATTATGAAAATCGCAATAGGAATACATATGCCCATGTCCTGCATTGAGAAAATACAAAATTAAACTTCATTTATATAATAAAAATAAACATAATATGAATTTGATGTACTCACATTTTCGCTAGACCTGTCCCCGTTCGGCGATGGTATTTCCCTTTGCACCGGCCTCGAAGCCCTAGACGACGACCCCTCGGATGATGATGGTATTTTCATCCATTCAGATGCAAATGCTTCATCCTAAACACCAAAGATAACTTAGGCAAATTTGATTCCAAGACCAACGAAGGTATTCTACTAGGATACTCTAAAAGGTCAAGAGCGTACAGATTCTTCAACAACAGAACCAAAACTCTTGAGGAAGCCATTCACGTTAAATTTGATAAAAATAAGCCTGATAAAGAAATATCAGAGCTGGGAAATTTCTTTGAGAATATGCAAGTGAACAAAAATCTGTTGAAGAAGCCTGAGTCTGAAGAAATTAAAAGTCAATAGGACGAAAGAGAGTAGACAAAACCTGTCAATCAAAACAGGCAGATGAAGGCTCATCATCCACAAGAGCAGATCATCGGTGAGGCAAAAAATGCAGTAAGGACTAGAAGTTCATTCAAAACACAAGCAGAAATTGCATTGTTATCCCAAGTTGAGCCAAAAAACCACGGACGAAGCCTTATCAGACGATAGCTAGGTTCAAGCCATGCAAGAAGAACTCACCCAATTCTAGAAAAATGACGTCTGGAAACTCGTTCAAGCATCGATGGATAGAACGATTATTGGTACAAAATGGGTGTATAGAAACAAATTGGATGAGTCAGGAAATGTGGTAAGGAACAAAGCAAGGTTAGTTGCAAAAGGGTACTCACAATAGAAAGGTATAGACTTTACTGAAACTTTTGCACCTGTTGCTAGAATTAAAGCTATTAGAATACTACTTGCTTTTGTTGCATGTACTAGTATGAAACTATATGAAATAGACGTTAAAAGCACATTTTTAAATGGAACAATTTCAGAAGAAGTTTACATAAGCCAACCCCCTGGTTTTGAAAATGATTTGCTTTCATCCCATGTTTTTCAAACTAAACAAAGCCTTGAATGGACTGAAACAGACACCACAAGCGTGGTACGATAAATTAAGATTTTTTCTAATAAGCAACAATTTTATAAGAGGAAAAATTGACAGTACCTTGTTTAGAAAAGAACTAAAAGATGATTTCATAATCGTCCAAATCTATGTAGATGACATAATATTTGGTGCTACTAATGAAAATCTTTGCCAAGAATTTTGAAAGCTTATGCAGGATGAATTTGAAATAAGCATGATGGGAGAATTGAAGTTCTTTCTAGGACTTCAAATCGTCTAGTCAGACGAAGGAATCAAAATTCATCAAACAAAATATACCAAAAAACTGTTGAAAAAGTATAAGATGGAAGATGCAAAACCAATGAAGATTCCAATGCATCCATCTTCTACTCTTGGTCTGGACGAAGATTCACCAGACGTAGATAGCACAACGTACCAAGGAACGGTAGGCTCACTCTTGTATCTAACGGCATCCAGACCTGACATTATGTTCAACGTCTACGTCTGCGCCAGATTTCAAGTAAGACCTAAGGAGGTACATTTACAAGCTGTTAAACGTATTTTAACATATCTTAAAGGAACAACTAACCTAGGAATCAACTTCTATAGAAGCCAGGATTTTTCCCTATTAGGATATTGTGATGCAGATTACGCAGGGGACAAATGGGAAAGAAAAAATACTAGCGGAGGATATCATATATATATATATATATTTCACTACATAAGAGATGTTTTATGGTTTTTGAAGTAAAAAATAATTATGCAATAACACTAATTTCAAGAAAAATGTATAGTTTCTAACAAAATTAAATGATAGCAGTAGCCTTTGTTTTATTTATGTGTTTTTATCTCTCAATGTATATTTTGTCGATGCTCACCAAGGGTAAGAAATTGGAGTTGGTGACGATGCAATATGCAATGAGACATGCATAACATACTTCAAATACTGGCTGTAGGCCCCAATTGATAATCCACATATATGCTAAGCACTGTCTCAAAGTAAGCTTACGGAAAAGGGTGCCAATAATAGGAGAATGCTTGCAAAAGAAGATTTCAAGCAATCCTGTGGCCCATCTCTTTTGTTGGATCATTGCAGTTGGGCCACCTCCTGGAGCGAAACCTGTGAACCCAATTGGGCTTGGTGTACACAATTCTGATCTCCAACCTTTTTCGTGTATTGTCAGCCCAAGGAGCTTATCCTCTGTTATTGATCCATATATCCAACCCACCTAAAATTTGCATAAAACCCACATTGAATTTCAATTACAATTTGACAAAAAAAATAGTTTTTTCTTCTTCTGTATCTCTCTATATGCACATATTAGATGATAGATGAGAATATGAAAAGACCAAATTTCAATGTATAATTAAATTAAATAATTAATACTAAAATTCTAAATAAGATCAACATTTTTATAATTATATAATCAAAATCAATTCATCTTAATTTTAAAACACATTAAGTTTTACCACTTAAAGTTTAAAAGGTCTAGACTTATACATGTTTAGTTAGATTGGAATAATTTTTTTTTCTTCTTACACAATCAATCTTGACCACTTACAAGTTTAAATAGTCTTGATCGACTAATGCATCGTGTTTGGAAAAATTATTTTTCTACACACAAAATTAATCTTAAACAGTTATAAAAGAAATAATTATTTGTCTACACCAACAATTAATTTTGTCCCCACACCCTCACATGCATACACACTCAATTAATATTGACCACTTATAAGTTAAAATGGTCCAGATCCTTATTAATTTTAAAGATTTTTTTACACATATATATTAATTATATTATTAATACAAAATATTTATTAGTTTCGTTAATAATTAATCTTCTTTAAAGAATCTGATTTCCTATCTTTAATGAGATTTCTCCTTCAAACTATTTTTTTTATGCACAACACTTGAATATATAATCTTGTTCAAAAAATTCGAATCCAATTTCCCACAAACCAACAACTTATTGTTTAACTATTCTATACTTATGCATGCTTAGTTGGATAAATCTTTTTAAGGAATAATTAATTTTCAAAAAATCTGTAAAATGTTTGTTTTAAAGACCTGTTTGCCCCAGGCAGTGCCATATTCATATCCACAACTAGCAACTTGACTTGCTATGTCAACAGCGTTCGAAATATTAATATCATTTGGCAAATAAGTCTTCCCTTCCAAAGCACGAGCAGCTGATTTCATAATCTCCTTTGAAACTCCAAACTTTTCTTTTAATTCCTCCTCCGATATGCTGTTTCCTGAAAAATTAGCTTGAAGGTGTGTAAGATACATAAACAATAGAAAACAACAGATTATATTAAATTAATTGGGTTTACCAGCAGCTAATAAAACTTATAAGATTTCCTAGTGAATTTGCCAGACAACTATTCTAAATTTGTTACAATCACTTTCCGACTTTCCTCTATATATATATCATATATATATATATATATAAGTAACAACTATTTTAACCGTCAAGAAAAACACTTATGACAACTTTTTGCTGCGAATTAATCATCTATACACTGTCAATATAAAGTTTTTTACATTGACAACTAATCATATCTTTTAATAATGTCATGTCAGTTACTTATTTAATGAAATAAAAATAAAATAAAATAATTTAACATATTTGATTGGTTGTCGGTGTAAAAAACTTTACACTTACAGTGTATGGATGATTAACTCGCTTAAAAATGCACTTTAACGTTCAAAAATTACATTTTTTTTAATGGTTCGAATATGAATTTGCTAAAATTAATGGTTCTCACGTTTAAGGATGAATACTCAATTTTTTTTATATGTATATATTTTAAAAAATAATTCTGATATTAATTTAATATATTTAAATTAAATTAGCACATATTCCAATCAACTTATAATAAATAATAATAATAAACTTATTAATAAAGTACAATTTTTTATTTATTTTTGTACAGATCATAGGTATCTTTTACGGTGAAAAAATCTTATTCGAATTCATTAAAACTATTATATGGATAGTAAAATTCAAATTCTAAATATTTAATACAATTATATATTTAAAACTTGAATTTGAAATTATTGGTTAAATTAAAATAACTTTACGCTAATTAATCTACATACTTGTTTGTCGAAATGTTTTATTGTCAAAGTAATTTTTTTCCTAAATATTGATATAATTCAAAGAGTTAATCACCTATATACTGCTAGCGTAAAATTTTTTTACACTGACAACCAATCATATCTCTTAATAGTGTCATGTCAGTTACTTATTTAATGAAAAAAATAAAATAAAATAATTTAAAAGATATGATTGGTTGTCAGTGTAAAATTTTTTACACTAACAATGTATAGATGATTAACTCTAATCCAAATGTGCCATAATGTTTTTGATTAAGAAGAATGTCATGAAAAATGTTTTTATGTTCATGTAAGAAGTTGGAGCTTAAATAATTAATGAAATTTGATTTTATATTAATATATTTTGTTATTCAGATAAGTTAATAGTTTTTAGAGGATCAAATTATCATTTATAAATTGAGAGATTAAAGTAGTAATGTTACAATTATTTAAAAGGCTATAGTGTACACTTGAATTTTACTTTTATTTTAAAACAAGATACAATATAAATATAATAGACATACATACCACTAAATAAAAATAAAAATAAATGAAAACATAAATATATGTCTGTAGAATAACATACCCTTTTCCATGTCACATGGAGAAAGACCATAAATAACTTTTCTTCTATGTAAGCAGTTTGTTCCCCCGTAGAAAGGTCCTTGAAGTCCAGCTATTCCAGCAGTTACGTACTGCATTATTTGGAAAATGGCTTTACTTTTTTTTTTTTTTTTTTTTTTTTTTTTTTTTTATATTTTAAAGAAGCAGTTAATTGACTTTTAAAACTTATAAGAGTGAAATGAGTTTTCTTCTATAATTAAGGATTAGCATTTAATTACAATCACCTTAATAAAAATTGCCATTTGATTTCCAAAAGGATCGTCTTTCAATGTAGCATAGAATTGTTGGGGAAATTGAGCAAATGCAACTTCTTTTTCTCCTTTGGGATCAAGCAAAATGCACAATGCATGGTGAATAATTTTTGGATTGTTTACAATCATGTCACAGTCCACGTTCAACATAAAGGGAGCGTTGGTTATCAACCCGGAAACTCTTGTCTGAAATATATATAAAATGGGGAAGTTAATTTAAAGAAAAAAGGTGCATGGAATTTGTGTTGAAAAACATGGCAGAGAACGATGAGAGAAATGAAAAGAAAAAAAAATATAAATCACAAACTGAATATGCAAATGCATACAACATGCGACTTACATTGAATAAATGATATTATCAAGTATATATATAGCAACTACATAACTAGCTAATTCAGCAAATTAAGAACTATAAACTAACCAAATTCTAATTATATATGGTAAAATAGTTAATTAAAGTGAGATTCATATATGAAAAATGCCAAGAAATTAAGAAAGTGAATTTCTCACCAACACGTTCATGGCACCAGCTTTGAAATGGTGTGGCTGTTTCGGCCTCTTTTCTCTAGAAATGTAAATCAAATGTGGCAATCCATCTACAAGGTATTCCCTGTTCTCCCATATCACCTTAAAATTTCATAATATTGTAAGCAATATTTTGTTAAATGTAATTTCTTTTATTTATGACTTATAAAAAAGAGCATGCATGGTTGGATAAATAATAATAAATAAGTTTTAGTTGTCATTCCCATTGATAAAAAAAATTAAGTTTTAGTTCTAAAAACATAATTTTATTTATTTTAATTTATTTTATTAGTTTTGATCATCACAATTTAATTTTTTTTATAAAAAAATAACTTCTATCGTTACACAGAATTTATGACATGTATCTAATCATATTATATCAACAATGTGATATGTGGTTGGGTATATAATTATATTACCTATCATATCATTGCTAAGGTATTGTTTAATCTAACCGTTATTTTTTTCTTTTCCTTAAAAGGAAGCCGAGTAAAATGCAATTTTAATAAACGTTTCAAAACTAAGCAAGTTTTCTCTATAAAAAAAATTGAAAGAAAAAAAAAAGTTAACTACGTGAAGGTAGTGGCGTTTGATTTATTTATTTATTTATTATTATCTCTATATATAGAGAGAGGGGTGAAGATGTTTTTAAAAAAAGATTCAAATTTCTTGTATCTATCCTATCTATTTTAAGTTAATAAAAATAAAATCTGCCACGTAATTTTCACTTTATTATTAGAACTCTTATTTTATGTTTCCAGTTTAAAGATGGGTTTTTTAAAAATAAAAAGGCTAAATCTAAACTTAAGTGATAAAAAGGATTGTTTTTATAATTTTAAAATTTAAAAGGATCAAAATCACTATTTTTTAAAATAAAATAAAACCATTTTTATAGCAATAACATTTTACCCTAATAAGACCTACGATTTAAAACAATTATGACAAGAACAAATATTTCTATCTATACTTTTTTTGGGTATATTATTTCTATCTATACTAATAACATAAAAGAAATATCCTTTTTAACGCACACATTTTTTTTTTTTTTGCTTATAAATATCTGGAAATCACTCTTCTTATTCTAATATATATTTTTTATTTAGTTTATTTTTGTCTCCTTATAACTTACCCATTATATTATCTTTTTCTAGAAAGAATAACATTTGTTTGATATCTTTGAAAACTTCAAAACAAGTGATGAAGCTAATGGAGTATTGAAGTTATACCTCGATTATTGTTGAATGATTTGTTTTCTCAGTATCTGAGAAAACCGCAAAGTCTCCATGACATGGATCTGATTTTTGTAACTCATCTAATTCTATTTTGTGGCTAAGATGATCATACAGATCCTGTCAACACACACCAAGACAAAAGCCAATTTGAAGTTTATTGTGTGGAGTAAATCTTGGCTATAAATATATAAAATGTCTTCTACATAAAATTTACATATTTAATAATCTCAATTCATGTTATTCAATCAGTAATCTTTCGGTTTAATTAGGAACTCATTTATCCACTATTTTAATTGAGTCGATTTTAATAATATTAATTATAAAAATTTAACTAACATAAAGTGTAAGTATATGAACTAATAAGTAACAATTAAACCTTATTAATTTAACCAGAAGCTTAAATATATTAATCCTATTTCTCAATTTACCGTTTGTCTGTTGAAAAGTCAAAATTGGTGGCAAGAGAAAGCAAAATCAAATTTGGAGACAGCCACCAAAATCAAATTGAATTTGGCAACAAAAATCAAAATTGGAAGCACCAAAATGTGGAGCGTTCACACTACAATCTTTCCTCATAAATAGCAAGCCCCTCCATTCATTTTGAAGGTTGATCCCAACAAAAAGCAAAAACACTTAGAGAGTTAATAGAAAAATTGAGAGAGAAACTCTTAATTCTTGGGTATAGTTGGGTTGTGGGTTGTGAGGGGTTGTGAGTATTTGGAGAGAGATTATGAGTATTTTGTAAACACTGCTTATATTTCCCTTTTCAATAAAATATCTGCAGCAGCCCGGAGACATAGGCAGAGTTGGCCGAACTCCGTTATCAATTTTGTGTGTGCTATTAGTTCACAGTTATTTTGTTCCATTTTCAAATATGAAGTTACGGGAAAGATCAGCGTGATTTTTTTTTTCCTAACAACTGGTATTAGAGCTTGGTTCGCAGAAGCGATCCGAGAAGTCAGATTTGAGTAGGAGCAATGGCAGCAGATGAAGGAAAGGTGAAAATTGAAAAGTTCGATGGTACGGACTTTGGCTTTTGGAAGATGCAGATCGAAGATTATCTGTACCAGAAAAAGCTACATCAACCTCTCGAAGGAAAGAAACCAGAGGGCATGAAGGATGATGAATGGGTCCTTCTTGACAGACAAGCCCTTGGAGTTATCCGCTTGACATTATCTCGTAATGTTGCTTTCAATATTGCAAAGGAAAAGACCACGATGGGTCTTATGACGGCTCTTTCCAGTATGTATGAAAATCCGTCAGCTTCAAACAAAGTTCACTTGATGAGGCGGTTGTTTAACTTGCAGATGACGGAAGGCGCATCAGTAGCGCAACATTTAAATGAACTCAGTATAGTCACAACCCAGTTGAGTTCAGTTGGAATTGAATTTGACGATGAAGTACGAGCATTGATACTTTTGTCTTCTCTACCAGAAAGTTGGAATGCTACTGTCACAGCTGTGAGTAGCTCATCGGGAAGCAATAAGTTGAAATCAGATGATGTTCGTGATCTGGTTCTCAGTGAAGAGATCCGACGGAGAGAGTCGGGTGAATCCTCAACCTCTTCAGTATTACATACAGAGTCAAGAGGGAGGGCTCCAACCAGAGGAAATGGACGTGGAAAATCAAGGGATAACAGGTCCAAATCCAGAAATCATCGTAGTTCTAACAACTCAAAAACTATCAAGTGTTGGAACTGTGGGCAGACCGGGCACTACAAAAATCAGTGCAAGAATGCACCGAAGAATCAGGAGGCGAAAGCAGAGGCAAATATTGCTTCTACCTCAGGAAGAGATGATGCATTAATATGCTCTTTGGAGAGCAAGGAGGAGTCTTGGGTGTTAGACTCTGGAGCATCTTTCCACGCTACTTCGCAGAGAGAATTCTTCGAGAATTATGTTCCCGGAAACCTTGGTAAAGTCTACCTTGGTAATGAACAATCTTGTGAGATTGTTGGTAAAGGTGTAGTGAAGATTAAGCTAAAAGGGTCTGTATGGGAATTGAAGAATGTCAGACATATTCCCGACCTGACGAAGAACTTAATCTCAGTAGGCCAGTTGGCCAGTGAAGGCTACACAACGACCTTCCATGGTGATAATTGGAAGATTTCCAAGGGTGCAATGACGATTGCTCGTGGTAAAAAGAGTGGTACTCTTTACAAAACAGCTGGAGCATATCATTTAATTGCAATTGCAGCAAATGACAATCCCAATCTATGGTACCAGAGACTTGGCCATATGAGTGAGAAAGGGATGAAGATCATGCACTCGAAGGGAAAATTACCAGGTCTTCAGTCAGTAGAAATTGAAATGTGTGAAGACTGTATACTTGGAAAGTAGAAAAGAGTCAGCTTTCAGACAAGTGGAAGAATCCCAAAGAAGGAGAAACTTGAGCTTGTTCACTCAGATGTGTGGGGTCCAACAACTGTCTTATCCATCAGTGGGAAGCAATACTTCGCGACTTTTATTGATGATCACTCTCTGAAAGTATGAGTATACTTTCTAAAACATAAGTCAGATGTATTTGAGGCTTTCAAGATATGGAAAGCCATGGTTGAAAATGAGACAGGATTGAAGATTAAAAAGCTCAGAACCGACAATGGTGGTGAATATGAAGACACCAGATTCAAGAAGTTCTGCTATGAGCACGGAATCAGAATGGAGAGAACCGTGCCTGGTACACTGCAACACAATGGTGTAGCTGAGCGGATGAACCGAACGTTGACTGAGAGAGCCAGAAGCTTGCGTATGCAGTCAGGCTTACCAAAACAGTTTTGGGCAGAAGCAGTCAACACAGCAGCATACTTGATCAACCGAGGTCCATCGGTACCATTGGAGTATAGAATACCAGAAGAGGTATGGAGCGGAAAGGAGGTAAAACTCACACATCTTAGAGTTTTCGGTTGCGTAGCATATGTGCATATCAGTGATCAAGGCAGAAATAAGCTTGATCCAAAATCGAAGAAGTGCACTCTCATCGGTTATGGTGAAGATGAGTTTGGCTATCGCCTATGGGATGATGAAAACAAAAAGATGATCCGCAGCAGAGATGTAATCTTCAATGAGAGAGTGATGTACAAGGACAGACATAGTACTGATGCCAGTAACTCAGAAAAGAGTAGGCCAGTGTATGCAGAGGTGGATGATGTCCCAGAAAGTCCTATAGTTGAAACTCCTCAGCCAGAGGAATCAACAGAGCAAAGTTGTGAACAACAGTCAGACACACCAGAGCCTTCAACTTCAGCTCCTGTGAGGAGATCATCCCGGCCTCATGTACCTAACAGGAGATACATGAACTATATGTTGCTGACTGATGGAGGTGAGCCTGAAGATTATGATGAAGCATGTCAGGCCACAGATGCCAGCAAGTGGGAGCATGCCATGAAGGACGAAATGAAGTCTTTGATCTCAAATCAGACGTGGGAACTAGTTGAGTTACCCAGAGATAAGAAAGCACTTCACAACAAATGGGTGTATCGAGTAAAAGAGGAGCATGATGGCTCCAAAAGATACAAAGCTCGATTAGTAGTCAAAGGATTCCAGCAAAAGGAAGGAGTTGACTATACAGAGATTTATTCTCCAGTTGTGAAGCTCAATACAATCAGAACAGTGTTGAGCATTGTTGCTAGTGAAGAGCTCTACCTAGAGCAGTTAGATGTGAAGACTGCATTTCTTCATGGAGATCTAGATGAGGAGATATACATGCACCAACCAGAAGGCTTCTCAGAGAAAGGAAAAGAGAATATGGTGTGCAGGTTGAAGAAGAGCTTGTATGGTCTGAAACAAGCTCCAAGACAGTGGTACAAGAAGTTTGATGGCTTCATGCACAAAGAAGGCTTCCATAAGTGCAATGCTGACCACTGTTGCTACTTCAAGAGATATAAGTCCAGTTATATCATTCTGCTACTTTATGTTGATGATATGTTAGTAGCTGGTTTAGATATGGATGAGATAAGAAGCTTGAAGCAGCGATTGTCAAGAGAATTTGACATGAAGGACTTAGGTCCTGCAAAGAAGATTCTTGGAATGCAAATCACGAGAGATAAGCAAAGAGGGATTTTGCAGTTATCTCAAGCAGAGTACATCAACCGTGTTTTGCAAAGATTTAACATGGGCGACGCCAAGCCAGTTAGTACACCTTTGGCTAGTCATTTTCGCCTATCCAAGGATCAGTCTCCTCAGACGGAGGAAGAAAGATATTTTATGGCTAAAGTTCCATATGCTTCAGCCATTGGAAGTTTGATGTACGCAATGGTCTGTACAAGGCCAGATATTGGCCATGCAGTGGGAGTTGTTAGCAGGTTTATGTCGAATCCAGGAAAAGCTCATTGGGAAGCAGTTAAATGGATTTTGAGGTATCTACGAGGCACCACAGAAAGATGTTTGCACTTTGGTAAAGGCAAAATAAAGGTGCAAGGATATGTAGATGCAGACTATGGAGGTGAAGTCGATCACCGAAGAAGTACCACCGGTTACATTTTTACTGTTGGTACTACAGCTGT